CTTGCCCGGCAGTCGCACTTGCGACCACTCGGCCAACGAGGCAGTCGCTGTTCATGTTCCCTCTCATAAGACTTTATAGAAACGGACAATTGCTTACTCTCTAATTAGATGGTTTCTGCTTTACCCCTGAATTAGTCGTCTCATGGTCCTTCATTAACTAAACCTAAACATTATCATAAACAAAAGATAGAACTAATATTCGTCAAAAAAAAAGCATAATTTGCTTTAAAATATACCAAAGAGGTATTACAGTTTACTCCATAAAGCGCTCTCGAGTTAACTAGCTGGGACAAGGCCAATCTATCTAGCTAAGTTTACACCACATCCGACGCTCTGTGGGATGACAGTAGGGTGCCGACGTAGGTAGGTTGTATGACACACTTTTCCAAGCTATTCTTAACTACTGTACATGAAGGGAGCTTTTGTTTCAAGAAAACCATTATGTGTCTAGACACAAAGGGTAGGAGGAAAGACTTTGTGTAAGTAGGACAGGACGTTAAAATGATTTGGATTTCTGGACTCTTGATTCTTCTTCTTTGAATTCAAATAATAATAACCTTTATTGTACACCTTAAATCAATGAAATTTTTTTTATGGCATAAGCCGGTAAACAAGCAGACTGACAATATACGAGCAGGATCACCTGATGGTAAGCAATCGGCGTCGCCCATGGACACCTGGAACACCAGAGGCGTTACAAGTGCGTTACCGGCCTTTTGGGGATTATGAGTTTGAGGATCGTCGGGGATTCAAGGATTGGGGAGATTGGGGAAGGGGAGGGTAATTGGGCCTCCGGTAACCTCACTCACACGACAAAACACAACGCAAGCGTTGCTTCACGTTCGTTTTCTGTGAGGCCGTGGTATCACTCCGGTCGAGCCGGCCCATTCGTGCCGAAGCATGGCTCTCCCACACTTAATATACATGAAAAGTTATAATAAAGAATAGTAGGGTAAGTACAAAGGAGGCCTTATCACTAAACGCGATCTCTGCCAGGCAGCCTTTGGGTGAATGGAGAACTGAGCAAGTGGAGGTTGTTTTGAGTGTACTCAGAAAAAACACGTAAATATTGAGAAAAGCATTACTAGTTTCAAGTCACAGTGAGATTCTTCCTCATGAACAGCGTGCACGAACGCGCCGACGACGAAGCCACTCTTTGGACTGGCGCATTCGAAACAAAATGGAACACTTATAGAATGCTACTTATATCTCCTTCATTTTCTATGAAACATTCCTTTTCCTTAACAGTAAATAAATGTCCAATAAATTGCCATCTAATAGAACCATCATCATGCAATTTATTGACCACATAAATGCCTTCATTTCATTGCAGAACTCATAAAACTTATCGACAGGATAGATCACAATACGTGACCTACATCTACTACTATCAATATGACCTATTTAACACAATTATATGCTCTAACTAATAATCTAAATTAAGTTGAGCAATAGCGGCAAATATCGATCTAATAGGTGGGCTCGATTGACAAATGGTCGGTAATAAGTCGATCAATCTTGTTTATGAGGTCGACCCGACTTTGCGTTAAGCTTTTATCAAGAAAGCATGTAATTGGTTATTTGTAATCATCATTAATCGTTAGTTCATGAGAATAGATATAGTAGATATTAGTAATGTTTTAAACTAAAAGTACCCTTAACTGATGAGCATGCCTGAAAAGACTGCTGACTGTTGATGAAGCGAAAGAGGTGTGTAAGAGTCGTTGCAATTTGCCTACCTCCGTATGAGACAGGCTTGGGGTTATGTATGCAGTAATGTATCTTTGCACTGTTTCTAACCACAGAAAACTATTTATTGTCGGTATCTGCCAATGTCGTTTAACGTGTTTCACTTCCTGAAAAGGAGTAATAAATATTAGAGGTCTTCTGACAATTTCGGTTCACATACAAAGGGTTAAAGAGCGCTAAAGAGCGATGTTAAAGAGCTCTTAAAATATGATTTGTCCAAAGAGTATATCACCACATCTCATATTACCTGTGACATCAGCACAGATAAGAACTCTACGCATCAAAAATAAAACACCATACAGGCCATGGGAATATGTCCTACAATCAATCACTATGGATGGAAGCTAATCAAAAATAGATTATCTTTAATGCGTTGCCTGGGACCATTCCTTAGTACATTACCTTTTTCTAGGAACTTCATAGGATGTTACCGATAAACACACGGTTACAGATACGTGGCTATAGAAAACCAGTGTAAACTGACCGCCGAAAATGCTGAAAGATGATACAAAGCGGTACCATAATAAACTAGTTTTGTATACTTTGATATGCTACGGTGTGCGGAAGATGTATGTACAATCGACAAAGTTGGCGGTCGACCACCAATTGGCAATACAAAACAGGGTGGTGTATGTAGATAGGGAGTTTGCCACAGGATTTTGTTTAAAAAGTGTACTCCCGTAAACTTTGCCGACAGTACTTTGTAATGGTTTTACGAGGACGAGTAACACCGGACGTATTGACGTAATAGCCATGTATAAATAGACCACCGTTTTAGGCATGTGTTGGTTTAAATTAGTTTAAATATAAACTGTCTCGTTAAACTGTCAAATACCAAGCGGTCACCGGTGACCGCAACCTATTGTTCTATAATTGTATCTGCAAAACCGGTACTCGACGAGTTAATGCAATGGTTGCATGCTGGTCAGCAAGTTCGAGTTGTAATTTTCTTTTTGTAGTACATGGTCATCATTTCATCAAGCTTAACCTCTCGCGTGTTGATCGAGGTCTTAAGTTAGACCTATGAACTAAGAAATTAACACGAGCATTTTTTGTGCTTACTTACACAGGATAGACGTTATCGTATTTGTGTCTTTATACCTTTTCAATTTCTTTAACAATGTCCATTTTTACAGGTTGCCAACCGATTGCCTTCTGGCTACTGAACCGACATGGCTCTCACAAACCTGAGGCGAATGAAGTAGTGGAACTGCAAAAACTAGGGGACCTTAAGAACAATATCGTCACCAATTACAGAAATGGCAACTTTAGGAATACTAATGTGAGTATTCATTTAAGTACTTCCATCCATAAAGGAAGCCCAATTACCCCCCCGCCCCCATTGCCCAATCTCCACAATTTCTGAATCCCCAACAATCCTCAAAATCCTAATTTCTAAAAGGCCGGTAACGCACTTGTAACGGTTCTGCTGTTCTCAGGCAGGTGTCCATCGGCGATGCCGATTGCTTACCATAAGGTGATCCGTCTGCTCGATTACCGGCTTATACCATAAAAAAATAGGTCTAAAGTATTTTCAAGTTTGGATACTTGATCATCATCAATATTGACCTCTGCTTCTGTGATAGACAATTCGTAACGCAATGTGAGAAACGAGGGTAATTGTTTAAACTTACGCTGATGTTTTTGCTTCGGCTTCATCGATTTTCTTACTTATGATAACTTGAATATCTTTACGGTCGGTACGGGGCTTTTAATTTCAAATTTTATGGTTGTAGGTTGGTACTTAAAGTTTAGCAATATCTACATAAAACAATGGGACTCTGTAACACCGAATAGTAGGTGTATCTACTCTACCCACGCGTTTGAAGAACAATAACCGTGAATTTAACCTTTAATTTGATGAATAATTTTATGGCTTTTCCCCTAAACAACCAACACCTTCTATTTAAACAACCTACGTTACTAAAACAAATATTTCATCACATTTCTTAGTGCAAACATCTTTATGACAACAGAAATGCAGAAAGACGACAGAACTAAACAGCAAACAGCATTGTCCAAAGATGTCAATAATGTACAATGCCAGCACATCAAGATACCCAAAACTAACATTTCTCCATTACATTTTCAACTCTACCACAAATCGGTAACGTTGAAAATTGTGTGGGGTCTGTTTTATGTTTGGTTTAGCCAACATGTCCGCTAGTCCAATAGTTTGCTTGCCTTACTTCAAAAGTGGAAGTTTGTCTATGTCTATGCTATGGAAATGTACTGTTGTACATTGGTACCTACATGGTCGGTTTTAGGTGTAGCCCCTTCAAGGTCACTATTAGCACCTTGTTTGTTCATTGGTACTTTTTAGCCTTGAGGGTCAATGATGTCTGTCTGACTCATTTTATGTATGAGATAAGTATACAGTACATTAAATATGTATGGTATTAATTTCAAAGACTTTAAACTGTTGTAGAAGTGGTTGAACTTTATTTAAATGATTTTCTATTAGAAATACTATAGATGTGAAGACACAGACCACCATACATTGATATAGATAAATTTTTATTCTCCTTAGCACCTTTGTGTATGATTGATGAAAAATAATTTTGCAATACTAATAATACTTATTACTCAATGTCCGAACAAAGTGAACTAACCCCAAGACATTTTAACACAAAGTTGACATTTCATCATTGCTGAATAACTGTTGAAAGCTTTAACCCTATTTAATTTTGTCCACAGCAACGTATCTGCTCATCAGATCTCAACCTACTGGAACAATGGCGATGGGACGACCGACATAACCTGACGTTTGCTGGAGACCTCACTTCTGATGGGTACATGACCACGCAGCAGTTTGCACAAGCCTGGAAGCAAAGGTTCCCTGGACTTATGACATCCAACAGCCAGAACTATTTGGTAAGTACTTATTATTATATAAGGAATAAAAAAACATCCTAGGGTAGAAAACAAATCTTTACTTACCCTTAGATAAACCATCCTTTAACTGGGAGCTACTTAGCGTGTGTTAGCACTTCAACTGACCCCTTACCTGTACCTTTAGGGGTCACTTAAAGGTTCACCTTTGCTTCGGGGTTTCTTTAAATTTGAGAGAAGAGCTCGGTGATAAAGAGGATAAAACTTTGAGGCAAAGTTAAGAAAAAGTAATGACAAAACTTGACAAGAGTATCTTAAAAACTAGAATCACACGTTGAATTGAAACTGTTCTTCATTCAACTTCATTCACACCAAAACAGTCAAGCCAAACGAAAACCACAAAATACTGTTAATCATTGTTTACATAACATCGACCATAGTTGACCATATTACAAACTACCTATCACTTCCTGCCTTAAAGAAATCCTTTCATAAAACCGCGACAGTTCGATTACCGATTCGGGACAGACATTATCCAACGCCAACGATACGAGTATCACTACGTGACGTGAGTCTGTAACGGTAATAAAACCTACGGATGCCTTGGTAGTTACGTAACTGGACACCAGTAGAGCAAACTATACCAAATTGACAAAATTCTGTGATCAGAAATCAACTTTATTGCTAAATGATAAGGTTGAAGATCTGGGTATTAAAGGTGAAGCTTCAAATGCTGGTGTGTATACAACAGCTGGTCTGCAAAGAATGTTTAAAAAGAAAATAACACCTACCGACACTGCTATTAACTTTTATAAGTCGATCGAGGAAAATCTATTCGAAATATTTGCTCTTAATAAATAGCTTCAGAACTTAGGACATAATTGGTAATGCACTTGTAGTATCTTTGATATAAGGCTTATTGTCCACGACACGTCATTTAACGAATGCATGCAGCTAACAAATAACAATAGACGGCCTACAAATGCCAATGCTTGTAACTATCTTACTTAGAAACAATGAAAACTGTCCACGAAGCAGATATGTTAAATTCACCATTTAATTTTGTAGGTTGCATGCATTAGACAAATGGCGCATCAAGGACAGTAGGAAGGAAGCCTAATGCGTGGAAAACGTAAAACATAAGAGACCCCTTAAACAACGAAAGCTAATGCAAATAATTTTATTAACAACAAAGTAAAAATTAATGCCTATTGCGTTAAAGCTAAACTTTATGGAGCAACACTCATCATGCGGGTTCTTTAATTTACTTGTGTGGATAATATGTGTAGATAAAAATATCAATTAACAGCTTTCTCTTTAGTTTTATTTGTACATTTCCAACAGCCTTTTTTCAACATAGACGATTTTTTTATGGGCCGGGAAACGAGCAGACAGATCACCTGATGGTAAGCTCTCAGCGTTGCCCATGGACATCTGGAACACCAGAGGCGTTACAAATGCGTTACCAGTCTTTTGAGGATTTTTGGGGATTCAGGGATTGGACGTCCGGTAACCTCACTCACACGATACACAGCGTAAGCGTTGTATCCCGTCAGTTTTCTGCGAGGCTACGGCCTCGTCAGAAATCGGCTCATCCGTGTCATGGCTCTTCCACACTTCTGGTTGTCTAATCGGTTATATTCACGGAAATATTAAAAACAACTTCCCTTACTAACATCTTCATTATTTTTATGGCTATATTGGTTTTTAATTTTTTGACAATAAATTATTCTCGTTCCCTTTCATCCATTATTATCATAGACATCAATTGTTTTCACTTATCATTGTCTTATATTTCAAAATACCAATTCATAGAACAACAACATAGTTATACATAGTCATTTATATTTTCTAGCATCTCCTACTCTTCAAGACAATTTTGCATTCAAACAAATATCTCTATTACGAAAAGGCTCATCAACTTAGTTTAAAACGGTCATTCCTAACCCATTTCATCGCTCGTTAACTCAGGCATCTAGACATAGAACTGCCCTAGATACCTAACTACAGAGCAACTCCATGGACCATTAGTTCCATGAAGTTGCTTTATATTTTCAGTGACATCACATATTGTATGCGAGTCATGCCTCCCTGGTAGATTGTGACGTCATTGGTGCCGTTTTCTTATTAAATGCGTGGCTATGTTTGTTTAAATGGAACTTTAGCTACTTTTATAGGATTTTATAATGGAAGTAGGTTGGTAGGACTTCTATAATCATTTATTGTTCTTCTGTGATAGAATCTGGGATGTATGAGCGAATTTGTTCTCTAAGAGTTATGTCTTAGGTGCTTTTTGTCGTTTGCAGTTCAAGTTCGTAAATGATCAGCGTTCAAGCAACACCTTCAAGTCTTTCACTGAAGGTCTTTTCGGAGACCAAGCGGAGAGCCTCGATATACCCAAAGAAAATGATGAAAAATTACTTAGGGTGAGTTAAATTCTTCTATTTATGAACTAGCGACCCGCCCCGGCTTCGCACGGATGCAATATGCATGTATTATACATATAACCTACCTTAAGAATCACTCTATCTATTAAAAAAACCGCATCAAAATCCGTTGTGTAGTTTTAAAGATCTAAGTATACATAGGGATAGACAGACGGCGGATAGCGACTTTGTTTTATACTATGTAGTGATAGAGTAAGTATAACATAGTTTTTTTTAATAAGATCTCTTAATCATTCCTACATTCTCTTTTTGGGACAGTGTGGGTGTCTTTAGGAAAAAAATAAACTTTGCATATTATAAAATATCCACTAATACGCACGTAGCCATTCAACTTTAATGATTGTTCAAATAATTTACAGCCGTTCAAGTTCTGCCCAGCTTGGAATAAGAGCGTCGGAGAGAACAATGACACGGTGTCACAGCTTAACATCTTCGAATCTAAGATGGAGTTTAAAGAGGTAAGTAAGTACTTACGTAGAGAAAACAAAACAAAATATACAATTGTCGTATATCTACCTAGGTGCAAATAACAATATCGACGTAACCATTTATTGTTAGATTCCCCTATAGTTATTATACTCTTTGTTGTTGGACTACGAGCCGAGTCCAAATCTCCACGCTGCTGCCTGATCGCTGTAATTTTTTTTTTAACTTGTCGACAATATAAACACAAACATTGAAAATAAGAAAATAATAGAAATGTAGACTAACGTTTACACAATTAAACATAATATGCACATCATTCAAGTACAATGTAAGGGCTAGTAAATACAGTACCTACCGTGCCACAGAAATACTTTATTAGAGGTATATCTGTGTACCGAGCCCTCTAAGTAAGAATACAATGAGTTTAACAATCTCAGTAGTAGCACGGAGTCTGGAAATGTGCCCGGTATATGGCAATAGGCTCAGCCCCTATTACATGAGACTCATAACATAAATAGTGAAAACTGTTACTTCTGTGTGCACCTCTGCCTACACTTTCGGGGATAAAAGCGTGATGTTATGTTATGTTTAACAATTATCATAGTGGGAATTCAATTTCAAGTTATTAATTTAATAGCCTACAAAGACAGATATAATCAATCAAATGTATAGTCCTCTAGTAATTTTTCAACAATCACAGGAAGATAATGAGAATAACACAAACACTTATTGGAAGAAATCGTGAAATAACATTATTCTAAAAACTTAATATCTCCTACACATTTTGTTGTCAATCAAAAGAGTCATACGTGACTGATAGTCTCGTCCGAAGACTCATTGTTTAGCCAATTTTAAGTGCGGCCACAGAAATGTTAAACACAAAAATAGTAAAAATATTGGTAGGTTACGGACTACCCTTTGTCTCCAATTAAAAACGTAATGTGAAAAAATGAGTTCTTTCATAAATCCTGCTAACAATTTGTTAATTACAAAAACCTTAGTCCAGTACAAATGAATACGAATTAGCCAAGCATTTAGCATGACCGTAACCTTGGCCGTACCTTTAATTAGGCACCCAGGTTCAAGTTTCACGGAACAATGTTTTTTATGTGTGTTTTTGATATTCTAATTCTAATTGGGTCTAATTTTTAATTTTGTGTTTATGTGGATCGAATTACCTACCTACTGTTGTTACGAAGAGGTACATTAGTAGGATTCAGATTACAAATTAAATTACTTTTGATTTGAAATGACAAATTCATTGCTGCTTCAATGGTCATAATAGAGCGACTGACACTAAGAGGTATCGGATGGAATTACCCGATTACATAGGGATTTTTTTTAGGGGGAAAATCATTGAATGATTTCTCCCGCCTGGGTGAGGCGGGAGGGAGTGTCAGACTCTTACTGACTAAAAACCACCCCGTTCCTACTCCTGCACTTCGAGCCGGAGCCCCGGTAACCCGTTATGTTCTCCGCGACATTATATAGGGCTAGGCAATTATTATAGTTTTCAGTTATTGAAATTCTACTCGATAATACAGAACTTGAAATAATGCGTCATTTGTGACAATAAACTAGGTTATTCCCTTCGTAAATATAGGAGTCATATAATTATTTTATACACCACGTTTAAAAAAACCGACTTTGACCCCCATCTTTTTTTTGAGGTCGGTTAATTAATATACAAAATTGACTAAGGCTAAAGTGTAACAAATACTTTTCTGAACGCCGCGCCGCACCAAAATCGATTCAGCCAATTGCGAGATTATCGAGCACAAACATTTGTACATTGAAATTGAGAACCTTTTGAAGTCTTTAACTAAAATTATATATTATTAAATATGAGGGAAAAACTATTTTTAATAATTATATCTGTGAATGAAACCTTCTTCTTGTTGTTCTTTGCAGATGATCAGTAACATCTCTCTTCGCCTAGGCTTCAACTATGACATTCAGAAGGAGATCGTTCTCCGCATCTACGAGATGTGTCGCTACAACAAGGCATGGGATGTCAGCAAGATATCGCCTTGGTGTGCTGTGAGTATACATAGTTTATACTAGCTACTTCCGTGCGGTTTCACGCGCTCTTCTCAGCTCCTATTGGTCGTAGCGTGATGTTTTATAGCCTATAGCCATCCTCGATAAATGCGCTATCCAACACAAAAAGAATTATTCAAATCAGACTTATAGTTACGGAGATTAGCGCGTTCAAACAAACAAACAAAAAAACAAACTCTTACGCTTTAATAAGTATATAAGATAATATAAGATGTATATGTTAGCAATTTTAAACGATGTATCTTACAAAACCACTGGTCCAACAAAACCCGGAATTTTAACATACTTACTTACCACACTTTAGTTTTTCCGGATAGATCTACAAGATAGAGCCAATTTTTAATAAGATAGGGGGGCCAACAGACTTTATCATCACTAATCTTCATCATTAATTTTGTATGTGAAATAAATCCTAATTGCAACTCTTTCTGTCGCCTATCCCAGTAATACTTTCCTACTATAGTAGGTACACTTCTCAACTCCTCACCATGCATTTTCAGGCCTTCACCAACGAAGATCTAAAACGCCTGGAGTATGCAGAAGACTTAGATACGTACTATAGATACGGCTACGGGTCTCCAATGAACAAGGACGTTGGATGCACCTTCGTCAAGGATATGATGACCTTCTTCGAGAAACATGTTACCAATAGTAAGTAGACTTTGAATATTTTACTGAGATTTTAAATCATTATTAAAAGGGTTCATATTTTTGTGCATCGAACTATATGCTTTCATTCTTTTTGGCCGCCAAATGGCGCCACTGTCGACTTAAGTCAGATCTATTCCAAGATTTTACGGTACCTACTAGACTTTTACGATATATTATTATACCCTTCTACGACAAGTCTTCATCTTGTGTCAAAAAGTTACCTAAATTGTATTTGGAGGCCCAATAGGGTTATTGGGTACTATCACCTGATGGTAAGCAATCGACGGATCACCTGATCCGTATGCTACATAGTTTACCGGCTTATCCCATAAAAAAAATATAATCAAACATTATTTTACTCATGAATAAATGACTTGTCGTGTGTGAAACCAAACTAATGAGTGCTAACGCCACACTTAATTAAATCAATTATCCGCAGTGTGACCAAGTGATGAGAAACTGCCATTTTATTGTGACAAAAATATTTTAACCTTGTAAACATCCTGTGTTTTAATTGACGTAAACTATTCGTTTACTGACCACGTACCTACTTATTTTATTTGTGGGTATTCTGGGGGCTTAGTACTACTTTTAAAGTAATCGAAACGAGACCGCGTTTGGAGTTCTTATTTGTTGATTCATTGGAGCTTGCCAATCAAAGCGCCGGACGCGGTCTCGTTTCGATTACTTTAAACGTAAAAGAAACTCGTAGTAAGCTCTCTGATTGGTTGGTTCCTAGCAGCCGGCCAATCGGAGCGCTAAACCCGGTCTCGTTTCGATTACTTAAAACGTAAAGCAAAATTATTCTAAGCCCTCAGCTATTGTAACATAAGTAGTGTGGTCTATGAGTAATTTATTGTTATTTGATAATTTATTATTATTCCAATCAACTACTTCCTTATGGGTACTAATTGGACTTATGAGTCATTTATTTACTAAGTCATTAACAGGAAACAAAATCTGTTTTTGAAGTAATTTTTATTTGAATTTCTTTTTCACAATAATGTACAACAATTTATAGTATCTACTTGTAACTAAACACCATAGGTACCTATCTCTGTATTTCTAATCAAAAATCGAGTGTGAAAGAAAGAAGAAAGAAAGAAAGAAAGTTCCCGTGGGATAAAAAGTAGCACAATGCATATGTCTTACTCCAAACCATAATCTATCGATGTTCCAAATTTCACTTCGATACCTTCAGCCGTTTTGACGCGAAAGACTAACAAGCACACACACACACACATACATACATCCTCAAAAACTTTCGCATTTATAATATTAGTAGGATGCACCGGTTTTCGCGTTTGATAACTTAACAAAAACCAAATAGCTCATGCAAGATTCCTATAGATTACTTAAGATATCCCGATAGACCCAATCCGTGGTGATTGGATTGAACACAAAAAAATATATTTTTTGCCAAATACCCTTTTATCTATTGAAACACATTATACCGGCAACTTTCAACACACAAAAGGATAGTCAATTAAAAAAAATCTCAATTCTCAGACAACCAGTCGCCGCTAAACCCTCGCGCGACTATCCACCTAACCGAAGCGGCCATGATGCTGATGACTCTAACAGCGATGGGCGCCCACCAAGACTCCGCCCCCCTCACTGGAGACAACTACCACTCCGCCGTGGTACAGTCGAGGAAATGGACCGCTTCCACTATGACTCCATTCAATGCTAACTTAGCTGCTGTACTATACAAGTAAGTTTTATAACTCTATATACGTCTTATGTAACTGTTCCAGAACTTCCAGGACTTTGTTCGACTAGATTCAAACCACGATGGGGGCTCATTATTATGAGCTGCTAGAATATTTTGTAAATTTTAATTTGAAAGACGAAGTGAACTTAATCGCGGTCCGCCATGTCATTGGTTATGGGAATAATCTCGACCAATGACGGGCAAACACGCGATCGAACTTACTTCGAAAGTCTGAATTGACAGTTGCAAAATAGCTCAGATTTTCCAGGACATTGCTCGATTGGTTTCAAGTTACAATGAGGCTCATAATTATGAGCAGCATGTGCACCCAACAAGTCGAGCAACCCTCTTAAACACTATTACTAGTATCACCAATTTACAGCTAGGATGAACTAGGTATAATCAACAAAGTAGGCGGTCGACCATCATTAAGTGATATTCACATGCACTCGGCGAGCGACCACAGGGTAAACAGTGCGATGGATAACGAGTACCTATGTCACAGGATTTTGTTTAAAAAGTATACATCCGTAAACTTTGCCGATAGTACTTACCTATAGTATTTCCTATGTAATATACCTACCTTCGGCACTACCAATTTACAGTTCCCTGTCTACGGCCACAAACCACTTTTTGTGTGCGAAGTAATATTGCAGAGAACCTAGCTATAAACAGAATTAACAATAACATTAATTCAATACAATAATCATACCTTTAAATAACAATATTTTTAATGGTAAAAGTCCAATTACTTACCTACTACTACCTATCCTACCACCCGATGATGAATCATTGCCTGAATAGTAAGGTACCTACCAAGCGTGATGACTTGATGAGTAATGATTCGCTTTACCACAAATATTAACAATGCAATGATACCTAGGAACATAGAGCACAAAGTTTGACTCAGCTAGAAATCGTAGGCGCTCAAAGTTAAACAATAGAATGCATAGGCGTTCCTAGAAAAAAAGCCTCAGATCAATTCTTTAGCCCTCCTACTTATTATTACTCTTTAGTCTTTGCCTCCCTCGCTCGGGTACTCGGGTCACCTCGGGTAGACTGGTAGACTAGATTGTGACCCATAGATATTATAAATTTCTGTGCTGTAGCTCGTATTAACTTTTTTTATCATGCCATCTCCCAAACCAACTCTCTGCTCTTTTGACGTGTCTACTAAGCATTTTTGTACATATTAATGCAAAATGGTCTTGAATAACATTTGATTTAAATGGTTAGGTGGATAAGATGTGCAGATTACGAATATCAAGTGATAGAGTAGTACGTTAACATATCCATTTAAAAAAAATAGGTTCTGAAGAGATCTTAATGTTAGAGCTGAAGATAAAATTCAGAATTATTTTTTTTTCCTTCATTTCGATAACGTGAGTCAAGCCATAAACACAAACATTTTTTATTAAGGGTCCCCCTTCGAATGACTTCTCCCGCCTCACCCTGGGTGTCTCAGACTCAGACTCTTACTGACTAAAAACCACCCTGTTCCTACTCCTGCTCTTCGAGCCGGAGCCCCGGCAACCCGTTAAGCCCTCTGGGGCTCCTTATAATAATAACGCACTAAAAAAAAACATTTCTTTCAGATGCACACAAAACGGCAACTTCCAAGTGAACGAAGAATATCAGGTACTATTCCTAGAGAACGAGCGACCAATGAACTTGCCAGGCTGTAGAGTCGGGCTCTGTGATTGGTCACTCATCAAGAGCCGTTACGGGGACCTTACGAAAAACTGCGACCTCAAATTTTGTAATTCCGGTAACAATTTGAATGGTTTAACTGGCATCAGTATTGCTATCCTTGGTTTTATAGTTAGCTACGTCATCAGGATATAAGATGTATTAATTGAAAATAGGTCAAAGTCAAATGTGTTTTCTATTTTGCTGTTATTTAGTGGTTTGCGCGCCATTTCTGAGTAACCGTTGTAATTTAAATTGCTTTTCTCTTTTTCTCTTAATGTTAACAGTTAATGAAAGAAAGACATAGCGATAGAATATTGTGCATATTAGACATTCAGCTGCAACAGAAGCTATCCGACCAAGCGACACCGACACCCAATTTGAAAACCAAAAACCGTCTTGGTAGCTGTCTCTTTCTTGTATTACCTAATAAAAGGAGACAGCGATAGTGAATTAAGTCTAATCAGATGCTGTAAGCACTATGAGCGTAATTTACTCAGATATGACAAAATGTATTGTAAGCAGCAAAATACAGACGTATTTAAATAGTCAGAAGAAGTCCAATAGAAGGAATGATCTTTATTTTTCATGTTGAGAAAATAATTACTTAGCCATAGTATAAAAAAACAATTTGTTTTGTTCGATGCTAACTTCAAAATGGCTGTTCAGAAGTTGTCTTTGTCTTCGCGCGCTTATTGTCATTGTTATACCGGGTACTTATCGGTGACGCTCTGTTTTGCGCGCTCATTCTCGCGCCATTTCGCGTAAGAAACCATAAACTTTGAAGTCGGTTTCTTAAAAAAAAAAATACAAAATATGATAAAATTTTTCCTCTCTTTCGCACCTCTATGGTACAATATTATTTTACAAATACAAAAATAACGCATAACAATTTATTAAGTTTTTGTAAATACACGTTTTCTGTAACTTCTTACTTGATGTTTAAATGTGTGTAATGTATATGGAAGAGTAATAGAATCAAAAATGTAACGCACGCTTTTTATAAAAATCTAATTTATATTTCTATTATTAATTAATTCATTATGTGTCAGTATTGTTATATTGTGTTTTGACAGAATGTAAGTACTTATAAAAGTTCTAAACGAGCAATATTTTTTGCAACATTGTGTAATCTGAAACTACACTGATTTTACAGTTGTGCATTTAAATAAGCCTTTTTGGCTTATCAATACTTATCATGGATATTACTTGTATTTTTTCTATTAATTTTACATAATTATTTATTTATTTATCTATTTTATCGTTTCATACTAAGAACTTATAATTAAACACAATTATGTATTTACAAAAGTTGTTACTTTTTAAGTTAACGCTTAATGTTGACGTTTGAGAATATAATAATATTGTTGTTGTTGTAACTCGCACCAAATAGAACTATCTAATAGTTGAAATTAAACGATTTAAAATAGATTCTGAAATTTTATTTTCTCATAATAATTACTTACCTATTTATATAAACCCTCTTTTTAAAGGGGGAAATCAACGAATGACTTCTCCCGCCTGGGTGAGACGGGAGGGTGTGTCAGACTCTCACTGACTAAAAACCACCCCGTTCCTACTCCTGCCCTTCGAGCGGGAGCGCGGAGCCCCGACAACCCGTTAAGTCCTCCGCGGCTCCGTATCGGCATCAGCCCTATTAACACCGCACACTCGGATCTGGTTCTGGTCGGACGGCGAGCTACCTATGCTCGCCGCATGCATCCCTGAGGGCGCGACGGTGCTTAACCCACGCAGGGCATGCCCCTACAGTGTTCCACCGTGTCATATAAACCCCTAAATATCAATCTTGCGATATCTCAAAATCTAGAGATCCTAGCCAAAGGGCGAAATTTTCGTCACCACCTCAACGCACACCCCACAAAAACATTTATACTGATTGATTGACAGATGGGGTTGAAATGACCTTGGGGTGAAATGGGCCCATAAATTATCCCGTCACCACTATGTGACCATGTTCTTACATGGTCATAAGATGGTGTAAGAATTACTGGTGCGTATTCTTACACCTCTAGATTTGGGGATATTGTAATATTCTCAAGCAGTCTAGGATAAAACCAGTCGTAGGTTATCCTATCAATGAAAATTATTTAGTGCCCTCTGGCTGTACTTACAAGCCGTTTGAATAAAGACTGTCGAAAAAATAAAACACAAAATAAATAATAATCATTCCTTTTATTTCGTTTACAAAATTAACAACTTATCGATAAAATCACAATTGCTCATACACAATTTTACATTCTGATAGCATACAAACGACAATTATATACAAATGCAATATATTGACCATTTTCACCTAGTAAGATAGCTATTTAAATAAAATGTGAACTTTAGTAGGTACTTCTAAGGATATTAAGCACTCAACTAGGGTAAACAACGGAAGTTACATTAAAAAATGTGCCAATGGTAGTGTTTTGGCCAAAACAAGCTTTTACTAGAGTAAATAAAATAAAGGAGACAGATATTGCTTTTAAAAATCAGTACATTTGGAGAAAAAAATAATCAACTTAAACCTAAAACATTTCTTACTTAGACTACATTTCGATATAAATCATAAGCGCCGTGTAAAAGCTTGTCTCAGACGCCATTCTTTTTAACAACTGATTTATCCGAATACATTTCATTTCAGCATAATCAGATAAACTGAGTACAAGTCAACAGTAGATTTATAATATAATTTTAGAAATCAAGCTCTAGTCATACAGTGTTTTGTGATGGTAAAATATAATATACAAATTATGCTAATAACATTATTTTAATCTTAGATTCCACAAACTATTCAGAGACATCATTTAGGCACATTTCCTTTGCATATTAAATGGATATTTCATGTTGATTCACTACCAGATTTCAATATTAAAAATAAGCTAGTCATTACCTATATTATTTTACTAGACTTTCAAACTGCCATGCAGTAATAGGTATAACATATGCCACTATTTATAACATTATTTCATAAAATACAGTCCACTAGTTATCAACATAATTAAATTATTTTATGCTTAGTTTGGAGTAATCAATGGAACTGAGTCCAGATTCTCTTCACGATGCATGTAACTGTGTTACAAGAATATTAACACAATAACATTCAAATCTTGATGTATATTAAATATTATTTGTAAAAATATCACGTAGATCATGAACTCTCTGAAACTCAACAAAGCTAAAACATTCAACTCAGATTTTCTAGTCAACAAACATTTAACTAAGATTTAATAAACAAGTGCATAATTATGCAAAGAAGCGTGATAGAAACTAAATGAGAAAATAAATAGCATATAGGAATTTAAATACAAACAAGAAATAAAGCAATTAAAGGTTAAAATTATGTTCTAAAATAGTTACAAATAAAATATGATTAGAGTTCAGTACTAAACATTCCATAAACAGCTTTAATAGGTTTGTTTTTACGGATATTATAAAAGATATTTTCTATTTGCAATTAACTGAAAATGTTTGGAAGTCCATTGATAAACTGTCATGTCGCATACACACGTTGATTAGCAGCACCAAAATGTTTACAATGTACAACAACAAGTTAGCTTAGGCTCACAGTTCACTTACAATCACTAAGCTGGTGGGTGACTACACTACAATTTGATAACCTAGCTATGAAGAGAATCACGTCGCATCCTGCACACTGCTGGAACTTGTGTTCCTAGTCCTTTTACCACTGCCAGTGGCAGATTTATTTTTGTGTCTCTTTTTATCACTTTCTTCTTCAGTCACACTGTTGCAGCGAGGTTTCGGACTCATCATTGTGTCGGATGAAACTGAATCTCTTTGAGATTTCTTTCTTTGCCTTTTGGGTATGTTTTCTCCAATCAACATTTCATTGAACATCCTCTGTCGAGCTTCCCAGTACAAGTTTTGTCTTTGTACAACTTCTGGGTATTTAGCTTCGAACGCGAGGTCAGGTGGTATAATCAGCTCCCAGCCAGTGTTAGGATTGAATTTCGCAACTGAGCGGATAATTTCTAACACCTCTGCGGGGGGCAGACGAACTGCCGCAGCTACCTTCCGTCGGTCGACGTAGGAATGTTGAGTGAAGAGATACAACTGAAAAAAAAAAGAAATATACAATGAAGTAATTTGAAATCATTACCGAACGAAAATAATGTAGATTTAATTTTTATAACATTAAATTGATTATATTTATCAAATCATAAGTAGATATACTCTACTTCACGTATATTTATTTTAGTAGGTTAGATAGCACAAGATGCAAATAAGTATTACGGAAAAACTAGCTTCCTGGGGTTTCATCTTCGTGATCAACTTCCACAGGAATCGCAAAATTAAGTTCCAGTAATCTTTTATAATAATATGTGTCTGATACATACGACATGGTCCCTGGCAGCACAGAGTAACCTCGCGGGTACAGGCAGTGCGCGCGTGTACAGGTCGGCGGAGCGCGCCGCCCACAGCCCGCGCACGCAGCACGCCGCGCCACTCAGCGCCGACAGCAGCACCGCCGGCGTCAGGGGACCTTCCTCCGTGCGGACCAAGGAACGGAGGTCGTTGAATGTCATCAATTTTGCTGGAAATTAATAATTAAATTGTTAAGTACTCTTCTAAAATCCAGACCTCTCAAAATTAAAAACAATAGACAGTACACACTCCCAATTTTCATGATAAGAGTCTTTACATTTGATTGAATGTCAGTTGGTGTTTAGATCTCACTACAACTTGCACGAGTAGAGTGATCACTAATTAATTTTATCAAAATACAGCAGTTTTTCTCGTAAGAACTTCAAAATGATCTATTATAGTAAACTTTTCATTCAATAAATTACAATAAAATTATGATAACATACCTCTCATCAATATTTCCTTAATTTGTTCGTGCGGTGAAGGTCGCTTAGTGGGCGCTATGTCGGCCTCATCTTCAGGTGGAGCCGGTACTAACGCGCGCACGTACTCTTTCGCACGTACCGTTAATGCCGACCCGTCTGATGAAGTAGCACTGAATAGCTTCAATCGCTCCAACTGCAAACAAAAATATTGTATTTTGCTACACATTTCTGAATACTGAGGCATTAAATATATTATTTATAAGAAGAATGTCTATCTGTATGTTTTGTTTTTCTAAAATGTTTAGATAGGAATCAATAATACATTTTGTGCACCCATAACATCTAAATGACTGCATCAATTCAGATAAAACTAGTTTTTCTTTTCTTTGATCAGGAACCAAAGAAATATTTACATTGATAATTTCCCATAAGCACCAATGAAGATAGAATTTTGGTTTTAACATACCTCAGCATGATCAGTTTCGGAACTTTTCCAGAGAGCATCGAACCACGGTTCTTCATTGATGCGCTGTGCGATAGTCTCATACGACTTCTCTTTGGCCTTCTTAGATACTTCAGTTTCCTGGCGCGCAAATTTCACCGTAACCTGGAATAAAAATTATTATAAATAAATAAAAATATTATAAAATTATGTGTTTATAAACACCACTAATCCCTACACAAGAAAAAACTAGAGGGCAATAGTACAGAATGTGGCACAACTCCATTCTCATCCATTTTCGCCAAGAATTTCAAAAACAGAAAAACCGAATAAAGATTGCCAGGAATCCAACCGTATATACCCATGGCCAAATATGACCACTATATGAATAAGGCAGACTAGTAGGTGAAAAATAACTAGGACATTTAGTTACTTATAGTGCAGTTACAGTACATATATTTATAGTGGTGAAGTTAGCGATTTTATTAAAAATAATTAATTTTAATTACCTGCTGGGCTTCAGGTTCTTTCTCTTCATCTTCAGAATCAGCTTTGTTTTTATCAGTTTTTCTCTTGTCTTGCTTGTCATAGTAGGAATATGAAGGCCGCATTTGGATGATTCCTGCAAACAAAGCAATACAGATTACATTAACAAAAGTTACATTTTCCTAGTTCTTACTGATAGTAAGCTGGTAGGACCTAGAACTGGAGGAACATTGTAAACACACAAGAAACCTACGATAGGTTTTATTAATACATTGATATATCATACCGAAAATTTGTTCATACAATAGTAGTCTCTAAACATGGGAAATAAGGTCTATTATGGAGTTAGTGGTGAGCGGTCCCTGTTGACCTCATGGGGATTGGACAGTTAAAGCTGATTATATGGTAAAAAATTTAACTATCTATAATTATTAAAAACTAAAAAAAACAATAAAGTACTCTTGTCGGTTAGCCATTTGTGTTTAAAAAATTTACTCAGCCATTGTCTGCAGATTAGTTGAGTCCTTATTTGACTAGAGAGCTAGCTAGTTCTTTGAACAAAAGATGTAACCATTTTTTTTTCTTTTGTCCAGAGAATGAGCCATCCTTGAAAACTAGAAATAACAATACAATGTTACAATGCTGCCAGCCTTTTGAGAATTTTGACCTATTTCATTATTGTGCACATTTGAAGATTAAATGATAAAATATCTTTTGTGTCCAATTTTGTTTGTTTACCAATTGTATTCTCTGTCTTTCTCTTGTTTGTGAAAATGTTTTTGTACATTAGATTGTTCCAGGTATTGTAAAGGTGCATATACATTTTTACTACTTTTCTATAGTATGCCATATTTATGTCCAAAAGGAAACATCCTTCTTAGTATTTAATTCTGTAATTACATACTGTCTATTATGATCTTATCAAAAAGTACCTACCTTGTATTGGTGTGCAGTGCAATTCTTTATCTTGCAAAATGGCCACTGCATAGTGCTGTGTCTCAGTGCCAGGTGCACTGCTCTCATAGACAATCTTATCCATAACTCCATGCTTGAAGTATTGAGACTTGTCCTTCTCCTTGATGTGCCAAGATGATTCCTATGACATAAAACCTTTTTGTAGATCAAATAAAAAAAATAATTTTTTTTTTCAATGATTTTATTGTTAGATAAGATATTTCTTTATGGATCATCCACACCAAAGCAGTTACAAGTTTGTTGCAGGCCTTTTGGGGAATTTGAGATTCTCTAGTTGTCTGATGCAATAGAATACGGTATTTGACAATTTTTGGAAATCGTTTTAAATGGTTGTTTTAGTATATAATATACGTACAAAATTAATCTTACTGCAAAATTTACAGTATTTAGGATAAACATCGAAGTTACAATTTAAATTGTAAAAAGCGCGGCAGAAACGAT